TTATAGTCTGGATAATCGAACAAACATTATCACCTGGATGTGGCACACATGATGGACGCTGTGCGACACCTTCTGGATTCCCAAACTGCGACGACAGGTGTCGCAAATTCTCAGGTTTGTCTACCGTGTGAGAAGACATAACTTCCCATTCCTCTACCCTGATGTGAAAGTACTACCGCAAACGCGGGTCCAAACATCCATTCGATCACATAGGTATTGACTAATTTGGACCGCTTTCAGTAATCATCGCTAAAGAAGAGGGGCCAAAAGCCTACGGAGGCATACATGTCGCACGACAAGGCTAATCCAATTGGAACTCGTAGAAGACAGAAGACATGACAATGGAGGAGTTTCGAAACGTGCTCCGCCGAATTTCTGCGCAAAGAGGAGTACCGAAATGCATCACGTGTGAAAATGCGCCAATGTTCGTTCTGGGAAAGCAAGTTTTGTTCGATGCCCTGAAATGGATGCTAGACGGAACGACTGGAGAGTATACTAGCACGACGAGAAATACAATGGAGCCACATCAGCCTTACGCACCGTGACGGGGTGGGTTCCACGAAAAGTTGATTCGGTCTATGAGGACCCGTTACAAAGCACTCGGAAAATGAATTGCGTTATTCGATGTCCTGGGATCAATGCTCACAGAAAACGAGGCACTGCTAAATCCAAAGCCCCTACCTTATCAGGAACACAGCAGCTTGCTATGCAGCGCCAAGTAGAATAAGCACTCAAGTCATCGATGAGACTTATACAAAAGTTCTGGAAGATTTGGACGCAGTATCTAACCAATCCTAGAGAATATCACAAAATCCACATAGATGACAAAAGCGGTACAAGCGCGAGACCTGTTGAAGGGAACGTTGTCTCGGTGACCAATACAGCCTCGGAACGCACGGAAAGTCGTATCCATGTCCAGCAGAAACAACTCGTCCGATGATATTATACGAGAGGTTAGGTTGTGCTGCCAAGCAAGACACGTGTGCGATGTCAGGTGATTAGGATCATACCATTGGAAATACAACATACTACCGAGACATCTTTCCGTCTACGCTTCCGCATACATCTTCTCCGCCATCGCAGTACAAATTACGCAAAAGTAAACCCATCCCAT